TGATGTAAAAAAACATTTCTAAAAAGACAAATCTGAGACATTTAGGGATATTTGAATATGGACTGGGTATTGGAGGATAATAATTACTATCAGGTATTGCAGTCACATTGGGGTTATGATAAAAAAACCTATCTTTCAGAGATTCATACTGAAGTATTTATGAGTGAAATGGTACACTATCTACAATTTACTTTCAAATGCTATAGGAATAGATGAAACAAGAGTAGCAGAATGTTAATAACTACTGAAGCCAGGTACCAGTACCTGAAATTACCTGACTCATTTGCTTCCTTGTTTACTGTTGCCTCCCCATAAGAAGGATGGGGCCGTGAGGACAGGGCTTGTCTATCTGTTCACCACTGCACCCTAAGCACCTAGACCTGGGCTGTCAATATGTAGCCACCAGCCACATATGAATACTTAAATTTAAATTAATTAAAATAAAATCTAAAATGCAGCTCCTCAGGTACATTAGCCACATTTCAAGTTCTTGATGGCCACCTGTGGCTAGTGGCTACTATACTGGACAGGGCAGATAAAGAACATTTCTGTCATCACGGAAAGTCCTATTGGGCCGCACTGGCCTAGACATGTCATAGAAGTACGCTGTTGGGGAAACATAACATTCACTCATTTATTCATTCAAAAACTACTTACTGAGCACCATTTGTGTGTAAATAACATGCTCCTGGTGCCTGTCCTGGATGCATGCCCACTGCTAGAGGTGGCACTTGTGTGGTGACGTGAGTGAAGATGGCAATGGTGAGCCTGCTTTTACTGAAGGGTGATGCCACATAACAGATAACTAATATGACTGTTATGAAGGAAAACAGATGGGCCATGGGAGCCGCAGGAAGCCACTAAAAAGGATGGGTTTCAGCCTAGGCCTCAGAGAGTTCTCACATACTCTAGGAAGGAGACTCTGGTTCTCTTCTCACAACAGATGTGGGATCAGCACAGGGCAGTAGTGCTGAGAAAAACCAGAGGAATCTGACAGACCTCACATTCCCTTCCCAGCTCCGCCCCTTACAACCCATTAGCTGGGTAAGTCATTTCATCTGGGAACATCAAATGTGGGACACACACTATCATGTCCTCCTCTGAAGCCCAAGGCAGACATCCAAATCAATCCCAGCACCCTTTCCTGATGAACCAGAAAGCAGCTTCCAGATCCTTCTCAAGACGGCACTCCAAGCCTCCATTTCCAATCAGCATTGGCAAAAGGTGCAGTCTATCTGCCAATAGGGATCTCACCGTGCCATGACCCGGCTTTTTCATCCACAAGATGGGGAGTAACACCTGCGCAGGATTGTTGGGGGGAATAACTGAGATGATTCATTTGTTCAGTTATTTGTTCATGCACAAATATTTACTGAGGGCCTCACACATGCCTGGTCCATGTAGCACTTGGCAATGGTGGTTGTAACAAATACAGACATCTGTGTGCTGCCTTCTGTACACCTGCCATGGATGGGTTACAGCCTCCAAGTCCTTACTTTCCTTCTGAAGTCCCACTGCTCTGGGCCAGCTCACACTCACCATATCTCCTAATGTGGGGAGAGGAGCCCATAAATGTTAGCTGAGGACTTAACGGGCAGCACATTTTCCACTAAAAAAGACTCCCCTTTTTCTAGCAGCTTCTTCTCTCATGTTTTAAAAAGTCTTGGTTGGATTAGCTCCCCACATTTAACTTTTCTTCCCTGGATTCCTATACACAAAACACCGTATTAACAAGCTGTGTCTTCCAGGCCAAGCTATATTTCCTATAAACTCTCATTTTATCTCCTTGAAAACACACAGTAATAGCGTTCTCTGGAGAATATTAAATCAAACCAACCTGCAGCTGCATTTGTTTGCGCTTTTCTGCCCCCAGTAAATTCTGGCAACAGATGGGTGTGCATTATATAAGCGGTGCCCTGTCAGGGACTGCAGTCCCCCACACTCCACTCTGTTTGCAGAAACATCTCGAGGCGCTAATCCCCGTGGCCCACAGTGCACCCGCAACAACACGCTTGTGTTCTCGTGAGACTCTTAAGACCTTTCCCCTCTTCTTTATTCTGCTCACACGAGGAAGGCTGAGCGTAGGTTAAGAAGACAGGTGGGCCACAGCCAAAAGGGATGGCGCTTATCGTCTCTGTAATCCAGCACATAAAATCTGCTTTTCTTGGCCTGAGATATATATGCAGTGACAGGGCTGAGCTACAGGGCCGGCTCGGGCAGCCAGCATTGTTTCCTTACCCATTCCAGAAGGAGATGTTGGTGACCACCTGCCAGGAAGCACCAAATGGGACTCAGGAATGGGAGCAAGTGGCCCAAGATACTCTGGCCGTGCTGTGGCTCTATTCTGGGCTGGGAGGACAGCCCCTATGCACACCCAGGGCCAGGGCCTGCAGGTGGTGAAGGAGACGCTGACATGTCCACAGCACCTTCCTCACTTGTTCCAGTCAACTTTCGTTTTTTCAAATTTAAACTTGAGGCATTGGCTTTAAAAACCTCAGAAAAACAGAAATCAAAAGAAGCTTTCTATTACTTCTCTGTGGCAGCATCGTGCTGTGAACTGAGACAGCTGGGACTGCGTCTGCCATGTTAGGCTCCACATGATAGGTGCTCAATCCATGTTGATTAGTATGTGGGCGGCTTGGTGGGTGGATGAAGGAATTAACAGGAAGAAGTACAGGAAGGGAGGGCAGGAAGAAGGAGGACTCGATTCCCAGCTCTGCCTGTAACCTGCTGGATGACCTGGGCAAGCAAGTCAACCTCTTATATTTGCCGTCCATCTACATAACAAAAGGATAATACAACTGCTTATGGGTTATAGGGGAAATGGCTGATTCATTCCACAACCATTCATTTCTACATTGGATAGGGCAGTGGTAGACAGGGCTCAGGCCCTGCCCTCAAGATGTCCACGGTGTTGTGAGGGAGGAAGGGGTAAATTCTGGTGCAGGGCAGGATGGAACATATTCATGATCCAGAAGAAGTGCCAGGGTGAGGGGTCAGGGTTGGCTTCCTGGAGAGGGGTGTCTGGTTTTCCAGGAATACAAGACAGAGATAAACATTTTGAGTTGACTGATATGGGAGGGGCCAGGGACCAAAGGTGAGACTAACGTGGAGGGTGTTAGAGACCCACGAGCAGCTGGTATTGCTACAGGGTGATGTGAGCAAGAGGACAGGTATTGATGGGAGAGAGGCGGGACCTGACTCATGGGGGATAGGGGGCTCTCGTGTCCCACTCAAGAGCTTGACTTTGAACCTCTGGGTCAAGGGGAGCCTCTGAGGGTTGGAAGCAGCAGATAAGCACGATCAGAGCCCCCTGGTGGCTGCTGGAGGACAGACTTGGGGTTCGGCCTAGAGAGAGGGAGAGCAATGAGAGACTGTGCTCCCGCACACTTCGCATATACAGGTTCGTCCACCCAGATGCGCTTTCTCCTTTGCTGCCACAGCTCACTGCTGCTGCCTGTTTGCACCGCAGCTCAGCTGTGTGCTCCTGCAAGGGCGTTCCCTGGTTCCCTGACTCTCCAATTCTGAGGCACACCCTGCCTCCAGGAGCTGCAGTCTGGGGCAGGCCAGCTCCAGCTCAAAGATGAGTTTGGTTCGAACTATATGCTTATTACAAAATAATTCAAATTAGCTATGAACATTTACAAGCCAGGAAAGCTGATATTAAAATCCAGACTTCTAGGTCCCTGGGGAAATGCAGATCTAGCAGCACTGGCTGGATTCCTACACGGCAACCAGTAGTTGACACTGAAAAGTGGCCATCCCTTTATCTGGGGCACGGGCTTGCCCGTCTGACACAGTCCCCACCACACCCTTGTGTCCAACAGTTTGAGGCCAAGGATCAGCTTCCACGTATCATCTCCTTTGCAGTATTACTTCCCTTATAGCAGATTTGAGAGGAAAGCAGAAGAACAAGATAGGCTAAGGGGTTCTGTCCTGTCTTTCCTCACCCGGTTAGCACCCTGCTGGGCCCTTAGAGCATTTGAGTTTGGAGCCTTAGCAGTCTGGGTTTACCTTTAACATCACACTGCATTGTATGTCTACGTTTACTTGTCTGCCTGCTTTTAGACATGAAGCATCTCCAGGGCATGGGCTTTGTCTTTTATATCAGAACCCCCAGAATGTATCATGAAGCCTGGTGGCACCAATATGTGCTCAATAACAAATGCTGAATGAATGAACAAATGCAAATGAATACATGAAAAACAGTTCAGCGAAGAGAGGATGTAGGCCTGGGTGTAGGCAGTAGCTGTGAGGGTAGAAAGGAGGGGGCGGATTCTGAAACCAGAGGGGCAAACAGCATAGGGGTGAAGGGCCTCTACTCAGAGCAGGCCCCCATACCAGAAGCATCAGCACCTCCTGGGGGCTGGTGAGACATGCAGAATCTCAAGCCCTGCCCCAGGCCTGCTAAATCAAAACCCATATTTTAGCAAGATCCCCAGGTGAATCATCTGTGTGTTAAAGTTTGAAAAGTGCTGGCTAAGAGGATAGGCCTGGAGTCGAACTGCATGGGTTCAAATTCTCACTCTACTGCTTATGAGCTGGGTGACTTGGGGCAAGTTACTTAACATCTCTGTGTCTCCCTATCCTGATCTGTAAAATAGGGATAATGATATGAGCTACCTCATAGAACTGAGGTGGGGATTAAAATGGCTCACAGCTCAGCATCCAAGAAACGCTAGCTATCGTATGTCATGCTAAAAGTGATTTGCAAATACTAAGTGCCCAGTGCTGATGAGTGTCAGTTCATTATTTTCCAGCTCCCCCAAAGGGTGGCTGATATCACTTCTGAAACCTTAGGAGATGGAGCCTCTGGCCTCCTGGCGGCTCTGACGAGTGCGGCGTGAATGCCCCCGCAGGCAGACACTTGCTGCACCCAGGAAGTAGGGCATCAGAGACTCCTGTACCCATTTTGCAACTTCAGGAATCAGGCTATTGGAAAACTGCTCAGCGCTTCCATCAACCAAGTGCCCAGCGAGGAGTCAGAGCCCGTTACTTACGCCGTCAGCTGTCCAGTAATTGCAGACCTTGATCTTGGCTAGCCCGAAGTCCCGCAGCTGTTGGGTGTTGCGGATAATAAAGAAGAGCTGGAGCGGCGGCTGGAAGGGGCATGTCCACAGAGGGAGGCCCTTCTTGCTCTGAAACACCAGCAAGTGAGGGAAGTCGTTAGCACATTTCTGCCTTTCCCCAAAGTCAAGTAACAGTGTCTCTTGCGATAATGAAAACCAGGAGAGGGCTTGGGGCAAGAAGCCAGGGCGCCTCCACATGATCAGGTGGGGCATCAGCTCTCACTCCGCTTGGTCTGCACCCAGCACCAGGCGGACCCTCATCCCGGCACAAGGCTGCCACGTGAGGCTCTCTGATCTGCCATCCAGACTGAATTTAAAATACAGAGGGCTTTATTGTAATCAGCTTTCAGGCGTGCACTGGGGTGGGGAGAGAGACTAGAGAGAAGGACAGGAAAGGAGCCATGACGGCACTACTTGATTAACCTGGCAAACAGAGCTTTTAATTTTCTTTTGTGAAACCCTGTAGAATTTTTTAAAATTTAAAAATAGAAAAGAAAGAAAGAAAGTGGCTCAGGCGTGTGTTGGGACGGGGCCATGGCACGGAGCCTTGGGACTTATTCTGTTCCCTTCCAGGGCTTCCAAGCCTCAAGACCCCAGCGCGACGTGTCCACCCGCCAGTGAGTAGCCGAGGCCTCTCTTCAAGACCAGAGTCGGGGGGCTGAGTGCAGGGAGGCCAGGCCGCCATTTTCATTTGCACCAATAATGGTAGAAAATGAAGTCAGGGTTTTTTTCTCAGCTCCAGCCCCATCCTCTCTTATCTCTTCAGGACACCTCTTCCACTCTCTCCATCTGAACAAAACTCACAGTTCTCCCATACTTCTCCCCTGGTTCAACCTTGAAGCCTGGCACAGGCTGGGCTTCACTTAGCGCTCTTCCTGCCGTCTCATTCTGGGAAACCCAGCTAAAACGCAATGCAGCTCCCCCTCCCCACTCACCCCTTTCCCCGACACAACCACTCTCTCTTCCATTGACCCCAGTGTCCCACAACTATCTGTTTGCATGCCTACGTCACTCTTCCACTCCCCTGAGCTCCTTTGGGGAAACAGCCGTGTCTAATTCTTCCCAGAAAATCCTTAGCATTCAGCACAGTTCCCTGGCACATGGTAAACACCAAAGAATCTTTGTGGAGTGAACAAATGAACGGATAAATGAAATTTACTTCTCTAAAGTTTCAACGAGACTATATGTCCTCTCATCGAAACTTTAGAGAAGAGATTGTAAAGGTGGTGTGGCCTGCTGAGCTACTTTTTTGGGTCATGAAGTGTTGTTTTTTTTTTTTTTAATAAAAAAGGCAAATTCATTGGCAACACTTAAAAATGGGGAGATTTTCCACCGAGAGCTAGATTTCCGCAAGCTTTATGGAATTTATCATGAAGCCTGGTAGCCTTGGCAGCAGGGGTGCCTGACTGTTGCTGGCTGGAGCTGAATGATGGCTGCCCCCTTTATCCACGGCAGGTGCGATCCAGTGCCACAGTCCCCACCACTCCCTACTGCTTTACACTCGACTCACTTCCTCATTTATGTTCCCACTTGGCCCCCAGAGGCATCTGAGTTTGGTGCCTGCCTCCGGGCTGAGCAGTCACAGAAAGCCCCATCAGCCTGTGGGTGACCACTGCTGCATCTCTGACACTGTTTGGCCGAAGTTGTCTTTTTTTAAAGGGAGCATCGCCCTGTGTTTGAGGATGTCTCCACAGACTCCCATCACCAGGAATGTGGTGCCACTTGACAGAGCCAGGGAAGGAGGGGACTGGCTGAATCAGGGCTCTGCTGGCCCCCAGGAGGTGGGTGGCTCCAGCTCCAGCTGCGGGGGAGGACACAGGGGGCTTGTTCCAGGCGACAATGGTGCCTTTCAGGAGGGAGGAGGTGGCTTTTGTTAAGGGGGAGAGATGAGTTCAAGGGGTTCTGACTTATTTTGGCAAGTTTCTCAAGCTCTGCAAGAACTTTTAGTGCTCTGGGCAGCTGTGAGGGGTCAAAAAAGCATATCTCAAGATCCAGTGGGCGAGGCTCATTTCTTAGCTGAGCTGGGGCCTGAAATGGGTCACTGTGGCTGTCTGACAAAGGAAGAGGCTGAAGCCTGACCCTCAGACACAGGCCAGGGGACTGTAATTGATTTCCCTTCACATTCCTGTCAGCAGGAGGAATAAAGGAAGGCTAAGTGGGAATGGTAGTGTTCAAAGACAAAGAACATTAACCTGCAGATAACTCAGGGCCTCATTAGCAACAAACCTTCTGATGTTTCCTTTCCACAGACACAGTCTTGGAGACAGCTGCTGAGGGCTGACCCAAGGCATGCTGGGTAAGTCTCCAGGTGCCAGGCCGGCAGGCAGAACACCTGCTGCTCCCTCCCCATTGTGGGTGGTAAGGAAGATGGCAGGGCAAGAATCAGGACACTTTCACACTGTTACTTTACTCAGTTCTCTTGAAATCCTGGGAGGTGAGTATTCCTATGACACCCGTGTTACAGAAGGAAAACCAGCTTAGTAAGGGTGTGCGATTTGCCCCAGGTTGCTCAACACCCAAGTGGTGGGGTGAGGATTTGAACCTAGATTCTAATTCATTAATACATCTGTCTTAGTTTAGATGTCCCCAGAAGCAGACCCTGAGGCAAGGACTGGAGTGCACCTAGCTTATTTAGACAGTAAAGGAAATGTCAGTCAGAGTGGAAGTGAGATAGAGGAGGGAAGGCAGTCAATGAGGGTGTAGTATCAAGTCAGCTACCCTGTGGGCAACTGTTGCTTATAGAACAAACCTCAGAGCGACTCCACCCACGGGCAAGGGAGCTGGGGTATTTACCCACCAACTCCCATGGGCCACTGGTCGAAGGCTGCTCCTGCAGGCCTCAACTCCCCCCAGTTTGGGCCTGCTGCATGGGAGACAAAGTAGGCTCTGGGGGCCAGAAAGAAATCCCTCATCAAAGAAGTGTCAGCGCTGACCATCAGAAGAGCAGCCAGCGTGCACTGAAGAGGTAAGGGGAGGGGCACGTGGGGAGGCACCAACGCAGCTGCCACACCTTATCCGACAAATACTGATTGAGTCCCTCCTGTGGGGCAGAAGGGAGTTTTATGGGTGAACAGGACCCACCAGGTCCCGGCTCTGCTACTAGGGGAAGCAAATACATAAAATTCACAAACAAATACCAGGCATGGATAAATTCTATAAAGAAAATAAGAGAATTATTAATGGCCAATGAAAGGGCTTTTTAAGAGTGGATGGTCAGGGATGGCTTCCCTGAGGAAATAACTTTCCAACTCCAAAACCAAAGGTGTTTTTCTGTTCTAACATAACCTAACACACATCCCTCCATGCACAAGGGGGATGCCCAACAGCCCTCAGAAGTAGCTCCAACTTCATTCAGTAAATAACCAAACCCGTTGCCATCGAGTCGATTCTGACCCATAGCGACCCTATAAGGACAGGGTAGAACTGCCCCATAGGGTTTCCAAGGAGCGGCGGGTGGATTTGAACTGCCAACCTTTTGGTTAGCAGCTGTAGCTCTTAACCACTACGCCACCAGGGTTTCTTCATTCTGTAAATAGGTGACTGCAAAAAGGGAAAGGACTATTGATACATGCAACTATTTGGATGGATCTCAAGGGCATTATGCTGTGTGAAAAAAGCTAGTCTCAGAAAGGTTACATACTGTGTGGCCCCATTAATATAACACTTTTCAAATGACAAAAAAAAAAAAGAAAAAATCAAGATGGAGAACAGATCAGTGGCTGCCAGCGGTTGGCATAGGGGATGTGTGGCTGTAAAGGTGTAGCACAACGGAGTTCCTTGGTGCTGATAGAACAGTTCTGTATCTTGATGCGGTGGCGGTTACACAAATATACACGTGATAAAATTGCATAGAACTATACACACACACACACAAATTAGTGCATGTAAAACCTGGCAAAATCTGAATAAGGTCTGTAGATTGTACCAATGTCAATTTCCTGGTTTCGGTATTCTACTACAGTTACATAGGATGTTACCCTTGGGGAGGCTGGGTACAAAAGCACATGGGACCTCTCTACCTTTTTTAAACTGGGATAGAATTCACATCCCATAAAATTTAAAGTGTACAATCCAGTGGGTTTTAATATATTCACCATGTTGTACCACATTTTTATAACCACAAAAAGAACTCTTGTACCCCATTTACCCCTTTGCTCTCCATTCTCTCTTCTCTCAGACCCTGGCAACCACTAATTAACTTTCTGTATCTATGGATTTGCCTATTCTGGACATTTCTTCTAAATGGGATCATAAAGTACGTGGTCTTTTGTGTCTGGCTTCTTTCACACAGCATAACATTTTCAAGGTTCATCCATGTAGCATGTATCGGTACTTCATTCCTCTAACTGTCCAATAATATTCCACTGGATGGGTACACCACATTTTATCTATCCTTTCATCAGCTGATGGACACTGTGTCTCTGGGTTTTTATTTTTGGGCCCCGAGGTTGGGACATCAGGCAGCTGTCTCACCCTGGGTTGCTGGGTCTCTAGGTACTTTTGTGTACAAATTTTTGTAAGGACATATGCTTCCATTTCTTTGGGTAGATACCTAGGGGTGGAATTGCTGGGTCATAGATAACCCTATGTTTAACTTTTTGAGGAACTGCCCAACTGTTTTTCACAGTGGTTGTACCACTTCACATCGCCACCAGCAATGTATGAGGGTTCCAGTATCTTCACATCCTTGCCCACACTTGTTATTCCCCACCCCTTTTTTAACTGCAGCCACTCCTAGTGGGGGTGAAGTAGTATCTCCTTATGGTTTTGATGATCTGCATTTCCGTAATGATTAACGATGTTGAGCATCTTACAGAGCGAAGAAATAGTGGGGAGAAAAGAGATGTGGGTGTGGACGAGGAGAATCAAACTTAGGTTTTGGATCTGTTAAGCCTGATATAGCTTTTAGACATCCAAGAAGAGCTGACAAACAGGAATCTGACATTCAAGTCTGGAGCTGAGAGTAGCAGGTAGGCTTGGGTATATAAGATTGGAGTCATCTTAAAGTTGAGGTCTGGATGAGGTCATTGAGGGAGATGGTGTAAGCAGTGAAGGGAGGAGGGTTTGCACTGAGTCTGGGGGACTCCTACATTTTCTTGTATGCCCCCAATTCACCTCCACTGAAGCAAATTCTCCTTTGAACCCAGACTCCTCTTCCAGGCTCCTTCAGGTCAGCTTTCACCACAGCTTTGTAGCCTGGGGCAAATCACTTAACCTCCTGGAGACTTGGTTTTCTGATTTATAAAATGTGAGTCACTCCCAGGTTCATCAGGCCCTTCTGAGGATTAAATGAGGTGATGCAGAAGGCCCTGGCTGGCACGCTGTGGGGCTTCAACAAACACCTGTGAAATGGATGGTTCTGAGAGGCAGCAGGCCTGGCTCACAGGATGACTATCAGGGAGCCCCAAAGCTAGGGCAGCTGTTGGAATTCAGCCCACCCATAGCTGGGCCCAGAGACCCAGCAGCCCAGGGTGAGACAGCTGCCTTGTGTTCTAACCTCAGGGCCTCAAAATAAAAGCCCATAAACCCATCCAAACCATGGGCCAAAGTTCTCACTGTTCCCACTGTGACAAAGCTCATAGGCCTCTGTTAAACAGAGACAAAGGGAGAGTAATCACCGGAATTGGTCCCATCAAATCCAATGACGCTTTTTATCACCCCTAGATGTTTTGTTCTGCAGAGCAGGCTTCCAAAGTGCCACTGTTTTCTGCACCAGGGGCTGGGGGGGCGAAAGCTGGTCCAAGCCTCAGCAGCGCACACCTACAGACTCAAAAGCAGAGCAAGGCCTGCAAGGCTAAAGCTTCCATGCAGCCATTACCCACAGGGCCGCTTCTTTGAGGTTCGGGATCACACGGCTCACCTCTGGAAGACGGGCTCTCAGACACCATCTAGTCAGGCCCTGGGGACAGTCCTTGGCTGCCTTATACCTATCTGCCTTTCTTTTGTAACACCCTGAATTCCTTCAGGGGGAAGTTCCTTCCTGCCCTGCCCTCCTAGACAAAGGGTGGGCCCTTGACCCAAGCTTGGCCCATCAGCCTCGTCTCCTGGGACCATGTATCTCGAGCAGAGTGGCAGGAGAACAAACCAACTAACCAACCAATAAATACCCCCCACCCAAAAAGAAAGCTAAGCCCTGAGTACTCTGTGTGTGAAAGCCCCCTAGAATGCTAGCCAGGATGAACCCCAACATGACCATGGGGCCTGTCCTTTCTAGCCTGGGTGACAGTGAGTACATCAGCTACTCAAAAGACTTGCAACAAATGTCTTTTTCAAAGAACTGCAAAAGTGAGCCAGACTCAGTTGCTGTTGCTTGCGACTGAAGAGCCATAGTGGATACCCTGCTCCCCTCATTTTCGAGGGACAGAAGAACTGATTCTTAGAGGAGGCATGTAAGTTGTCCAAGGTCACAGAGGGCCCGATCTGGGTCTCTAGAACTGGAGATTTCAAAGCCCCCCTTTCTTGTTTCCTCTTCTTTAAAACAGGAATAACAATATCTACTTTAGTGGTATTAAGACTATTATGTTAATAATAGTAACAACGAGATAATAACAGCTGCTGTTCTGAAGCCCTTAGGAAGAGCCAGACATGGTGATAAGCCCCTTATATTTAAATTCAATGCTCACAACATCCCACCAAGGTGAGTGATACTATTACCCCATTTTACAGATGAGGAAACTGAAGTAGAGATTAGTGAGCTGCTCGTGGTCATGAAGCTTTAAGTGGTAAGCTCGGAACCTAGGTCTTTCTGCTTCTTGAGCCTGTATACTGCTAGGAATAAATGAGATATGTATGGAGCACAGTGCCTGGCACAAGGCAGGAACTCAACACATGGCAGCTGTTTTCATTTGCAGTGCTTTGTAAAACATTAATAATCTGTTTTTGGGGATAGGTAGTACATAATACATAATAAATACATGGCAGGGAAATTAAAAGGTGCAGAAGAGCACCTCATAGAAAGTCTTCCTATCACCCCATCCCCTGCCCACCCAGTTCCCCTCCCAGAGGCAACCTCTGTTCCTGGTTTCTCAAGTCCCTTCTCGGGATAATTACGAATGTTCAATGAAGCACATTTATCATAGCAAAAATGACACCACCTGTTGGTCCCTTTCAGTTTTGCTCATAGTCTCGTGTCTACCTTCCAAGTGGCAGAAAGGGAAAATACCAGTGCCTTTTAAAAAACTCTGCTGGATATCGAAAGGAAAGTAACTTCCAAAGTTTTTGGGTGCTTACTCCATGCCAGGTGCGAGAGCAGGACCTGAGCGGGTGTGGCATGGGCCAGCACAGGGTGTGACCTTAGCCCCACCACTTTCCAGCTCTGTAACCTTGGCCAAGTCAATCTATAAAACAATGGTGTTGGAGTCAATGACCCCCGAGCCCCATGTTTGGTGGTCACTGTGGTAAACTGCCAAGTGGATAAAAAGGGGGTTAACTGGCTTCTCCTTACCTACTCTCTACCCCTAAAACCCACAGGGCAGGGATTTGGGAAGGAGCTTCAGGGAGAGGCAGGCCTTTACTGGCACCTTTCCCTTGGGCCCAAATGAATGACTGGGGGGGATTACATTATCCTCCCCCTCCCTGCACCCACACCCTTATCGCAGTCTTCCTGTGAGCAGAGCAAATGCATCAAAACACCTGCAGAGAATCGACCCAGTGTCTCTCCACTTACCGCCAAGTTCCTATTGACAAGGCGGCCCAGGTCCCCAGGTGTGCCCGCATTCTGGATGTCCACATCGTGAGGCGACACATAAAGCTTGGTGTTGTTCAGGTCAAAGAACTCGACTTCTGTGAGCCCCACCCATGCTGCGCTGCCCCAGTTGGACAGGATTTCCATGGTCACGTAGATGGCATCCTTGATCTCTTCTGCTTTTGTCCTCAACTTATCCTAAAGGAGAGAAAAAGAGTGCCAAAGAATGAAAACATAGGAGGCATGAATTCAGCTCTGCCACTGATGTATGACCTTCACCAAGTTACATAACCTCTCAGTGCCTCTGTTTCCCCCTCTGTACAGTGAAGATAATAATGGTGCCATAATGTATTGTTACTATCTTAGTTATCTAGTGCTGTTAATAACAGAAATACGAGTGGATGGCTTTAACAAACAGAAATTTATTCTCTCATAGTCTAGGAGGCTAGAAGTCTGAATCCAGGGTGCCAGCTCCAGAAGAAGGCTTTCTCTCTCTGTCAGCTCTGGGGGAAAGTCCTTCTCATCAACCTTCCCCTGGTCTAGGAGCTTCTCAGTGCAGGGACCCCAGTCTAAAGGATGCGTTCTACTCTCAGTACTTCTTTTTTGGTGGTGATGAGGTCCTTCGCCTCTCTGCTAGCTGCTCTCTTTTATATCTCAAAAGAGATTCACTCAAATACAACCTAATTCTGTAGACTGAATCCTGCCTCATTAACATAACTGCCTCTAATCCTGCCTCATTAACATCATAGAGGTTAGGATTTACAACACACAGGATAATCACATCAGATCACAAAATGGTGGACAACCACACACTGCTGGGAATCATGGCCTAGCCAAGTTGACACACATTTTTGGGGACATAATTCAATTCATAACAGTTACTATGAAAATTAATGAGCTCATATTTTGTAAAGCATTTAAAACAGAGTTATTGTCTGCCTTGGCACTTAGTAAGTATTCGGTAAGGGTTTGCAAATAAATGAAAATGTTCAAAAAGTACTGGATTCTGCCCAAATGTGCACTTCTCTCCTCCATGACCACACATTCATGTCCTGGAGGCCTGTCATGATTTCTGTTGAACTAGAGGCTAACAAAGGACCCACTGGCTTGGACAAGTCACTTTAACACCCCTTGGCCTGTTCCTGGTTGGGGAAAATGAGATGACACCATCTTGTGACAAGGCTGTCACAACCCGAGAAGTACCAACCTGAGAAGGCCCCGTCACCAGTCCTGGCCTGTGTGCACTCCCTAAGTGTCCATTTCCTCCCGTTCTCTCCGTCACTGATTTTAACGCTTGCCTCCTTCCCAGGCAGACTGTCTGGCCTGAGAGTCTGCGTGAATGCCATCAATAAGGAGCAACACTGCGGAATGACTTCCTGGGGCCCCTCCGGGGCTGGGAATGCAGCAACAGTCACCACGGATCAGTCGCTCATGAAATGATGCCTTCCCCGTGCGCACATGCCCTCTGTTAATTAATGCTGGTAATCTGCAATGGTTCTGCGAGCAGGGAGCTGAGCAAATGAACAGCAACTGTTCCCTACTTATTTTTTTAATTAATAGCCAGCGAGACGTGCTATTGCTCTCGGTGTGTTTGGATGAGCCTTGACTGCCACGCAATGTGGATGGGGCTGGGGAGGGAGGGAGAGGTCAGCGCAGAGACCCCGGTAGGAACACAGGGTCTGCTTTTATTAGCTCAGCCTGCAGAGCCCACAGCTTCCTCCTCTGCCGCCGCCATGCAGTGTCCTCGCCAAGCCCTCTGCTACCCTGGGCCTGAGTCCCAGGCTTGCAGGATGGTGACAAACCTAACCTGGCCCGGCTCACATGGAGTGGCGGGGGGGAGGTTTGAGAGGTTAATGAGATTGTGCTTGTGAGGAGCATTCCACTGCCAGATGAAAGGTCTGGAAGGGGTGAAGAAGCAGCAGCACTGCTCACGCTGTTCCTTGGCGGGGGATGAAGGGTCAGATGGGAGGCGAGCTGCCACCCACTGCAATCTAGAACGTGTAAATTCCTGCAGTCAGTTTCTAAATGAAGACGCTGAAGGGTCTATTAACTAAGGAAATGTCACAACTTGTCACACTGCAGCTTGATGTCTACCCCTGCTTTCTCTAGTGCTTGATTTAGGATCCCTCTTGGGGGTCCGGCATGAACATTTGCTGGGAAGCTCCCTGGTCCATGACACCCACTGCCCTCTCTCTCACACCACCTGATTTTCTTTTGGAGAAGTCACCTCTCTTTTTCCCTCGCATCCATGAGGCACGGGGAGACTGACGCCTCCTCAACACCAGGAGGAGCTTGACTGGCCTGTGCCAACCAGTGTGCTTTATCCTCCGGACCACAGGGACAGAGTGGCTCAGTGATGGGCATGTGGCCCAGCCTGGGTCAATGCAAGCATGCCTATGCCAGATTCGACTGGGCAGAACCACTCCTTTTCTCCTGACACTGGGTAGAGGTGTGGGCGGCAAGGCTGGAACCAGCCCAGATACTAGGGATCACAAGGGGAGACAGCAGAGTGGAGACTGGGGACCCAGGGGTGGGGACAGCGCCCAAGGATGCAGTTGACACTGTAGACTCAGAATGGAAGGATCGAGCTTGAGTTGCTGGATTCAGCCTCCCCTGGCACTAACTGCGGCATTTTCAATTACAAGTATCTGTACATTCTCTTTGTTGGGTAAGTCAGTTTGCACTGAATTTTATGTCTCCTATATTGTAAAGGAAACCCTGGTGGCGTAGCGGTTAAGAGTTCAGCTGCTCACCAAAAGGTCGGTGGTTTGAATCCACCAGGTGCTCCTTGGAAACACTATGGGGCAGTTCTACTCTGTCCCATAGGGTTGCTATGAGTTGGAATCGACTTGATGGCAATGGGTTTGGGTATTTTTTTTTTTTTTTTTAATATATATGCATAATCCAAAGAGTCTGAATTAATTCAGGCTCTTTTTAATATGGCTTAAGTTTCATCACTTAGAATCTTCACAGCTAAGAAAGCAACAGGCAGAGGGGAACAAAGCTTGGACTTTTCTAGATGGCAAACTTTCAGCTGATAGTTACCAATTTCTCCCTGCCATGTGCCAGGCACTGAGCCTCAGCCCCTCCCAGACCTGTCCTGTTTAATCCTCACAGTGGCTGTGGGTGTGTGTCCTTTACCCTACTTGACAGCCACAGACTCCAGGACTAGAGAGCATACAACCTCCAAATGATGGCTCCAGGGTCAAAGCTGGATCTCTTCTTTAGATCCAGGGCTCCTTCTGTAACCACATGCTTTTTACATGTGGCTTTGGGACAACTTCCTATTAGGTCCCCATTGGCCAATCATAAGGTTGGTTACCACTATACCAAATAATTGTAAGAACGGCTTGGATAGAGGAAGGATCGAGAAGGTAATGCCAGGACACAGACCTTTCAACACAAAAGAAGAAAGGATCCCCCACTATCCTACCACCAGGACACAACCTGTATGCTTCTGCACAGGATGTCGTAGCTCCGCCAACATGCTCGCTGCCCTATCTTTGCACAGTTGTTGCAATCACATTGGTCTCGCTGAAGATTAACGGCACCTTCTGCAGTTAACTTTATATCCTTAACACTTTCTATCTGTAAAATCTTCATGATAACAATTTCCATCTTTTATACTACTGCGTTGGGCTGATACTTTCCTGATTAACTCCATTATTATGAAACATTTAGGTTATTTCCATGATTTTTTTCTTCTTCATTTTTTTTTCTACTTCCAATAATGGTGCAGTAGACGGCTTTGAAAAAATGTTCAAAGACGTCTACTGCACCATTCCTGGAAGTAGGAAAAAAATGAAGATGGAAAAAAGAAAAAAGATGGTTGTACACAGGATCACTATGAGTCAGAACCAACTCGACAGCACCTAACAACAACAACAGACATTTTTGTGCCTATAGCTTTTCATATCTGTTGAGTTATTTCCTTAGCATAGGAAGTGGGATTATTGAGTCGGAAACCCGTTGCCATCGAGTTGATTCCAACTCATAGCGACCCTACAGGACAGAGTAGAACTTCTCCATAAGGTTCCCAAGGACTGGCTGGTGGATTTGAACTGCTATCCTTTTGGTTAGCAGTTGCTGCTCGCTGTAGCTCTTAACCACTGAGCCACCAGGGCTCCATTGGGTTGGAAGACATAAGTATTTCTACGACTCTTGCTAAGTCCAGCCATTCTGCTTTTCAAGAGAGTTTCACCAACTTAGACTGCCACCAGCAGTGTATGACTGCAACAGTTTTACTGTAACCTTGCCAGTACTAAATGTTATCATTAAAAATAATTTGTTAACTCAGATATCAAATGGGACATTAAGGTTGGTTTAATTTGCATTTTTTTGATTACGAGCAATGCTGGACATTTTCCTATGGGCTTGCAGGCTATTTATATTGCCTATTGTGTGGACAGGCTTCTCTCTCTGTTAAAACTTCTGGCCCACATTATTCCTTCTCTGCTTCTCCCACTCCATCATATACATATCTGTATGTAGGGCAGGAGGAGGGATGGAGACTCAGGCAGAAAGATGCCAAGGTTACTACAGTCAGAGCCATCCCCACAGAACAGAAACGACTGCTCCGAGGGCCCTTCCAGCCTTGGCTCTCAGGCAGGACGCTGAATGCATCTGGAAATCCCCATAAGTCGAGGCTCTCACCTCTGGGTCCAGAACTTGCTCTTCAGCTGGTGAAACCACCTGGCTGTGGGGGGTGGAGTCATTTTCGATGGCCTGGAGGACGTTCAGAAGCTTCTGCTGCTGTCTGAAATGAGATTCTGCTTTAGTAAACAGGTAGTAACAAATGGTACACAAAAGAGAACATTCTCGTCCAGGCTACCACACTTACTTTTCTACCTCAAAGAGGAGTAACAATTTGAGAAGGAAGTCTGTACTTGCAGACAGTTCAAAGGAGCATTCATGTCATTTTTCTCCCTTTATAAATAACTGAACAGTTAGCGCTGAAATCAGAGTCAAGTAAGAGAAACCCTGCTTGGGGCGAGGCTGCCAGTGGACCTACTTAAGCTATGAGAACTCATAAGAGGCTAGAGCAGGGGTCAGCAAACAACAGCCTGCAGGTCAAATCTGGCCTGCAGCCTGTTTTTGTATGGCCTGTGAGCTAAGAATTTTTTTTTTTTTTTAAAGCAAAGCCTAAAGTATTTACTGGCAGTGGTGGTTCAAGGGTAGACTTCTCGCCTTCCATGTGGGAGACGCGGGTTCAATTCCTGGCCAATGCGCCTCATGCACAGCCACCATCGGTCTGTCAGTGGAGGTGTGCGTGTTGCTATGATGCTGAACAGGTTTCATTTCAGCAGGGCTTCCAGACTAAGATGGACTAGGAAGAAAGGCCTGGCAATCTACTTCTGAAAAGCAGCCAATGAAAATCCTATGGATCACAATGGTCTGATCTGCAACCGATCATGGGGATGGTGCAGGACTGGGCAGCGTTTTGTTCCGTTGTGCAAGGGGTCACCATGAGTCAGGGGCTGACTTGATGGCAGGTAGCAACAAGAAAGTATTTGCTACCTGTCTCTTTACAGAGAAAGTCTGGCAATCTCCAGTCTAGAGATCTGCTGTCTGCCTCTTGTTTCTACGGACACAGTCACTGCACATCCAGTGGATGTGCCTGAGTTGTTTGCAAACGGACCCCACATGTGCTGTTTGCGGCTGTGTACCCCGAGTCCCTGATACATAAAGCATCTTGATGATGAAGAGAGAAGCATTTGGTTATGTGTGTGCTCCCCGCAAATAAAACCCCATCTGCTGAAAAATATCCTCAAGGCCCAGGCCTTTTGCATTTGGGGAAATTGCGAATTTTCATTTATGGCCAAGGTGGTCTGCAGCCACGGTTTCTGGTCTGTGGTCTGCAGGCTCTTGGAGGAACACATAGGGCTGCCTTTAGCCTATTCAGAGTTTCTGTGCAAACTAGAAACGGGGGATCCTCTGGGTGGACACTGACCTGGGGGGTCCATGGTTTCGCCTTGGCTAGTGTAGAGAAAAAGCCCCCACCCCTCCTGGGGCAATGCAGTCCAGTGTCAGGCTGGGTTTCAGCCCATCATGCCCCTCGGCTGGGCACTTGGCACAGTCTGCAATGCATACAGCTCTGCCCAGCAGCCCGGGAGTGTGGCTGTGGCCGTGGCATGCTTGGAACTGCAGGCTGAACCTCGTGCGTCTACTTCTAAAGTACCGATTTTGCCTGAAGATGGAGGAAGCCTTTATTCTAATACAACTGACAGGGATGCTGTGTGTTAATAGACATGATGCTACATTTGGACAAACTTTTAATAGAAGGAAGGGGCCAAAGGACATGGTGCTGGTATGGCTGCTTTGTCTCTGCCCACCTCCCCCCAACCCCACCCCCCAGACTCAGCTGGGAACAAGTTCACTTCCCTCTGCTTCATGGGGTACTCCAGCAGAAACCTTTGGGAAGGGTGGAGTTATACACACATTGGGACTGGGCTGAGCAAGGAAGAGCCATCTCCCTGAGAGAAACTAAGCCAATTGTGTGCTTTAGGGTTGCAGGGGTGAGGCAGGGTGCTATCTAGAGGGACAGCTTAAAATGGTCTGGAGTAGCATAGGAAATGCAAAGAAAAACCACAGTTAAGACGATCCTCCTGGCTGCATTGCTAAGACTTTTTTCTGTTTTAGTTTTTTTTTAAGTCAGCTGTGCTCAGTACCTGCTTCCCAAAAGGTCGGTTTTATCACTGGCATCATTGATGCCTCTGGCTCCCTCTGCTGCCCTGGACGGCTCAGGCCCCGGCTCCGGCTCCTGCGTGGTGGTCACCGAGGTGATAGGAGGCAGCTGAAGATGGACAAGCTTATTAAACAGATGTCTGAGCAATACTCCTGACCCAAGACACAGTAGAGCCCTGGTCAAGGGGACGCGTGTTTCAGGGCACCAGCCCATTGTGGGAAACCAGACTGAGAGAACAACAGTGTCTGCCTGGGCTGATTAGATGAAGAATCCCCTCACACAGCTTTGCAGAACGGCAGGACCTCACTCACTTCCTTATGGTCTGGGAGGTCCGAGGCACCAATTGGCTTCAACGCGCTATCGAAAACTTTCTCTTATCAAAACATTTCACTGTCTCAACTGAACCCTTGTTCTGTTTGCTACAAAGTAACCAGGGTCCACTTAGAATTCTAGTAACATCATTAGGCCCTGCTTTTTTAATCCTCCAAGCTTTTCCCCTTCTTTTTCATTTATTATCTAAATGAGAAACGTGCTCTACTCTCTATCTACAAATGTTCTGAGCTGTCAGAAACTCTGATGGTAACAAGTCAGATCATCCAGAAATCCTGGACCACGGTGGGAGGGTGGGTAGGAGTGTCACAGGCCTGCCAGAAACACCGTCTGGAGGCAGTTAGGTGACCAGGAAATAACGGGTGGGTTCAAAAAAACGAACCAAACCCGCTGCTATCCAGTCGATTCCGATTCATAGCGACCCAGTAGGACAGAGGAGAACTGCCCCATAAGGTTTCCAAGGCTGAGATTTTTACAGCAGCCAACTGCCACATCTTTCTCCTTTTGGTTAGCAGCCAAGTGCACCAGGGCTCATGGAGGAGTTAGGAACAATAAAAAAAGAAAGCCACCACAGTGCTTTGGGGTGTTGCCCTGTCCACCACTCTACCTCTACTTGGACACTCTCTCCCTTCCCCTTCCCACCCCTCCACCCTTCTCCTTCCCTCACCTTCTCCCTTCCCCTTCTCTCTCCTTTCCCCTCCACCTTCTCCTTTCCCCCATTCTTCCCTTCCCCTCATTTTCTCCCTTCTCCCATCCCCTCTTCCTTCCCTTCCCTTCCCCCACCGTCTCCCTTCCTCTCTACCCTCCCTCTCTTCCCCCATCCTCTCTCTTCTCCCCCTCTTCTCTCTCCTCTCCCTTCCCCCTCACTCTTCTTTCCTCCCTCCCTCCCTTCCTCCTCCCTCTCAATTCTCCCCCTTTTCCCTCCTCTCCCTTCCTCTACTCTCCCTTCCCCCCACCCTGTCTCTTCTCCCCCCTTCTCCCCTCCCTCTCCCTGCCCCTCCCCCTCCCTTTTTCCCCTCCCCTCTCTGCCCCTCACTCTCTCCCTGCCTCTCCTCTATCTCTTCTCCCCCATCTCTCCCTCCTTCCCCTCTCCCTTTCCCACCACTTGCCAGGCTTCTTCCTACTCCTTGATCAAGCCAGCTAATTCCTACTTCAAAGCTTTTGCCCTGGCTGTTCCTTCCACCTAGAATGCTGTGCCTTGTTGCTGGTTGTCTCCTTCTTAGCAGGCAGGTCTCAGCTCACATGAGACACCTCCCAAGGGGCCTTCTCGATCACCCTGTCATAGGTAGCCACCATCCCACAGCTTGACACTCTCTTGCCTATCAGCCGCTTTACTGTCATCCCTGTCTAAAGTCACCTTATTTGTGCTTTATTTGCTCGGCCAGGGGCATCTGTATTAGTCACCTCAGTATTCTGAGCTCACAGGATCTAACAAAGACATTCCCGGGAGTTTTAGTAATCTGTCCTTATCTGCTGGGTCCATCTTTGCTGAGATAGGCCAAATTGATCTAGATAGATACAGATATAATTTATTCAGGATACTAAAATCTGTTTTTGTATGCTCTTGCCAGAAAAGAGAAACTTAACAAGGAATTTGAATTCGAATCAGCGGGCCTGGGTGTGAGTCTTGGCTTCAACTTGGACCCTTGGGCCAGTCACTCCAGCCCCCAGTTCCTCATTTGTGAAATGGGCAGAAGGACACCAGTGGTTCACCTCCCCGGGCACAGAGATGACATGCTGGGGCCATGTGAAGGAGAGCTCTGGAGACTGTGTGCAGTGTTGGGGGTGCTTTGCTGTTCATCTCTATCTTTTACTGACCTCGAGGGACAGCGTCTCTTCCTTGTCCTTCAGCAGACTGACCCGTGGTTTTGCGGGCGGCTCTTCTGCATCCTGGAATGATATAATCACATGGTAGGAGGTTGGAACAAAGCCACTCACTGCATGCTTCACCTGACACATGAGGGCCCAGAGAGGGACAGGGACCTTCTCAAGATGTAAAGCCATAAATGGCAGGGGTGAAGCACAGAGCTCCAGGAAAAAAGACAACAGGCGCTGCTTGACAGAGCCCCAAAGAGCAGCCCCATGATGGAGCCTGGACGAGTCACCAGCTGCGTGGACAGGACTGGGCCTGCAGGCAGGCAGACCGCAGCCACTTCCAAAGACGTGCCCTGAGCAGGTCACTTGGCTTCTCTCTGGGTGGCAGTAGCCACATCTACAACACGGGGCCATGAAGCCAGGCCTACCAGTTACTGTGAGCATCGAGTGGGACAAGGTATGAGAAAGGGTTTCAATAGTGAGTCAGGGAACCTGCTTCCAAGAACGGATGTGCACACTGAGGTATGTCCAAGGCTTCCAGATGCCCAGGGCCCCCTACTCCACCCCACCATTTATCCTTCAGCTTGCTGCTCAAAGCTGTAGGCAGGGGGCACAAAGTCAACACCTGGAGGGCCAGGGAGATTTCACGACCAAGTGAAGTGGGCCACGGGTAGGAAAACAGGCAGTGTGAGGACTGTGGAGGCCTGGAGGGCTCACACTCGCCTGCTCAGCTTTGGGGAAGAAGACCTCTCCAGAGAAGCCAGAGAGCAAGATTCTTCCACGTTTCTTGCTCATTCTTTCACTGACCTGTTCTCTCCCTTCTCCCCACCCTCTCCCTTCTCCCCACCCTCTCCCTTCTCCCCACCCTCTCCCTTCTCCAGTTTGCAACCCTGGTGTGAGGAACCCATTTCTTGTTGGTGGAAACATCAGTAAGGACTGGAGGGATATTAGCCTCCAACCTAGGCTCTTCCTGAAGTAAACACAAAACTGAAAGAAGGTAGAGGAAATGGGAACTTTGGCAGGTCAGCGAGTGATGCCCCGTGGAGCAGAGAAAAAGCAAATGAGTCTGAGGTGAGTGAAGCCTCCCACCTCTCTCCTCACCACAGGCTCTTTTCAGCTGGGTGGAGAGAACTGCCTGGCCCGAGTAGGCACCACAGTGCTCAGCTCCTCCCCCTCTGCCTGTGAACACACCTGCAGCTGGCTGGCAGGAGGCTCGGCCTTTCTGTGGAGAAGCGCCCTCTGCAGGGCTTCATTCTCCACCTGGATGGCTCTGAGCACAGCGGAGGCATCTTCCTTCCTGTCCTCAGCCTCGAGTACAGTTTTTCGGGTTGCTGACAGGGGTCTCTTTTGTCGGCTTCCAGGCCCTGGGGGCAGAAAACGGGAGGATGCTTCTTTAGATTACATTCTGGGAGCACCGCTCAAAGACCATTAGACCCAAATTGAGGAACATTCTGTAAAACAGCTGGACTGTACTCTCCAAAAATATCAAGGTCATGAAAGACAAAGAAAGACTGGAGACTGTTCCCAATATGGCAAGTGAATGCATGCGTGATCCTGTACTGGATTCTGCCTGCAAAAACATTGCTAGAGACAGCATTATTGGGACAAATGGAGAAATCCAAATATAGCCTGTGGCTTATAAATGTTAAATATCCTAAATTTGATCACTGCACTGTGGTCTTGTAAAATAAATGCCCTAGGAGATACATACTGCAGTGCTCATCGGTCTAGGCGAATGATATCTGCCACTTAATCTCAAATGGTTTGAATGTATACATATATGCGTATGTGCAGATATATAGATAAGATAGGTAGAGAATATGATAAAGCAATTGCGGCAAAATGCCAGCAACTGGTGAATCTGGATGGAGGGTTATATGGGAGTTGATTGTACCTTAAAACTTTTCTGTAAGTTTGAAATTGTATCAACATAAAAAGTTATTAAAAAAAAAACTCTAACAAAATAAAGTTGATTCTCGTTACTTGCAGCAGTTATATTCTACAGTCACTGCAAACACCGAGTTAGCGAATACTGACCCATTGCTCCTAGGGGAAATAACAAGGTTAGGCTCCTGTGAGCTTCTGGCCACACGCTTTCATTAACTGATCAATACATAGCCTCGTTTTATGTTTATTATTTTTATTTTCTGTTTAAACACGACTTACTCTGTCCTGTAGGGTCGCTATGAGTTGGAATCAACTTGAAGGCAATGGGCTTGGTCTTTTTTTTTTTTTTTTTTTTTTAACATATATTATTGATTCATTAACATGGGACTCACGACCAACAGCACTATAACTCATGCCTGAACGATGCTTATCTAACATACGCATCTTCTCTGTAAGGCACACCACAGCCTTCTAGCACTCAGGAGCACTAGACAGCACATCACCACTACACTTGGGGGCCATTTTAGGCAACAAAATCACCAATAAAAAGCACAAAATTGTAAAAAATATGGCACCAAGTAGACTGCAAAGAGGGTACTTATTTATAGCATGAGCACTGAGACACTTGTTTACAGGCAAAGCGCCGCTCTGTTTGACCTCAGCTGGCAACATGCGTGTCAGGTGGCTTGAATTTTTCACAGCTCGGCCCACATCTACAAATGACCACAAAAGCACTATGAGAATTGATTTTGGGGTTACAAATAAATTTTAATGAGCAGGCCATTCTGCACATATGGAATTTGTAAATAATGAGGATCGCCTGTACCTATAAGGAATGATATATAATATTGTGGAGAGGGATGGGTATTTTAGAGTGTTTTTGCTTTATTTTGTTTTGCTCTTGCTTGCATACCAAGTATTGCCAAGCAATCAGACCTTAATTTAAGAAAGAAAAATTTATTGCAAAGTTGCAGTCAATGATGGAAGTCTCAGTGTATGGAAAATGGGTTTTATAAAGTGATATGCAAAAAGCCCTTAACAAGAATGGCTAAATAAAACAAATTATAGTACATCCATTCAACAGAGTACTATGCAGCTGTAAAAAGCCACAGACATAATAAATAAATAATATAGTGTATTAAGCAGTGGAAAATGATACAGAAAAACAAGAAAAGCAGAGCAGGGTAAGGTAGATCAAGGGTGCAGGGACAGCCGACAGGGTGGGCCCCAATGTACCCGCTGCCTTCCAGCCAAGGCCATTAGGTGGGAGGTGTGTGGTGTATTCACAGATCGGCAACACGCAGGGACCCGATGCCTCTTTGCACCCAGTGAGGAAGATCTCCATGTGGTTCTCATCTTTACCTCACCCACATTTCCATAACAGTAGGATCCCTACCATCAGCTTGTGACACCCCTTCCCGCCTTCATGTTCTCTGCCCTTTGTCTGTTTTACCATCTAATCCCTCCAGGGGTTATAGGTTAGAGAAGGCTGGGGGTGCCACTGAAGGATTTAGAGCAGGGCGGACTTGATCGGACTTAGGTGCCAAGAGGAGAATAGACTGAAGGGAGGTGAGGGTGCAAGCAGGGAGACCAGTTAGGGGCTACTGCCATTGCCCAGGCGAGAGACAATGGCTGCACTGGAGGGGGAATACAGATTGTGGCCAGGTTCTGGAGATAGACTGAAGACAGAGCCAACAAGATTCCTGATGAGTAAGATGTGGGTGAGGGAGAAAGCAAGAAGTATGAACAACTCCAAGGGTTTTGGCTGGGGAAGTGGACGATGGAGCTGCCCTCATCTGAGCTGGGAAAGGCTGTGGGTGGAGCAGGTTTGGAAGGGAAGTGTACGAGCTCAGTTTTGGACAAGTTGGTTTTGAGGTGTGATTGTGGCATCCAAGTGGAGCTGCTGAGTTGGCATGAGCACATGAGTCTGGAGCTTGGGAGAGAGGTCGGGGCTGGAGGTATGAATTCAACAAAGGAAACGGCATTGCATCACTTAACAGCAACATCAAAGACTGACGTTAATGCTATAATAAACTAATTGGGAATTCACAGGTATAACCTCTCTAGGAACATATACGTATATTTGGCCTGGTGTAAGACTTGTTCAAAAACAGCATCCCTTCATCTTCATGATCTCAGTAAACCAGCAGCCATTGATTATTAAAGATTCGTGTTGAAGCACCTGACTCTCTCGTTATGCTCCTATTAGAATGTTGTGTCTGAATGAAGTTCAAGTAGCAATGTCAAGAGCAGCATTAGCAGGAGAGAGAAGGAAACACAGCAGTTCTACTGGGCTGGCTTCCAGTACCACCGGGGACTGGGTTGATGGGGACTGTGGGTTTTCATGGAAAAGCTAGGCTAAAAGGAGGCAACACCAATTTCTACTAGGCACTGAGGAGAAGGGCTGCAAACACAAATGCTGCTGGACCAGAGGCAGGCACTATGTGAGTGAGACAGAACGTGGGGGCCCAGCCCCATTGAATAAGGAGCAGCCTCGCAGCTCAAGCCGATGCTTGCCATATAGAATTGTCACTCTAAGGTTGCCAAATATATATATATATTTCTCAAGAAAAGCTAGAATCTAGAAAAAGACCAGACTTAATGGTTTGACTGAGACTGGAGGATCCCCAGAGGCAAGGCTCCCAGACTGTCTGTCAACGCAGAACTAAAACCATTCCTGAGGTCAACTCTTCAGACAAAGATTAGACTGGACTATGGGACATAAAATGATACTCATGAAGAGTGTGCTTCTTAGCTCAAGTAGACAAATGAGACTAAACGGGCAGCTCCTGTCCGGAGGTGAGATGAGAAGGCAGAGAGGGTCAGGACCTGGTTGAATGGACATGGAAAATCCAGGGTGGAAAGGAGTGTGCTATCATAGAATAGGGAGAGCAACTAGGGTCACATAACAATGTATGTATAGATTTTTGTATGAGAGACTAACTTGAATTGTAAACTTTCACTTAAAGTACAACAATAGAAAAGAAAAGCTAGAATCTGAAATTTATGTGAATTTATTTGTTCATAACTGCTGCCAATTTTGAAGAAGCGTTGTGAGGACCAACAGAACCCAAGCACAGCTCTCATGCAGGCCACAGCCAGTCTCAGTGGCTCAGCGGGATGGTCAAGAGCACCCTAAGAACTCCTCACAGGGCCTGCAGACCGCTGGCCTGGACAAGGCACACTGAGAGGGTTATTCTCTGACTGTGATGTATTGTCTCTGAGGAAGCACCGCCCATGATGCTCCTGGGGACAGAGAAGTAAGGAGCTGCTGGAAATGTGACGTGGGATCCTGCTTGCCCCGATCAAGGCCACTCCTTCACCTTACTCTCTCTTGTTCATCTTTTTATCGGTTACTTGGCCTGCTCTGCAACTGGAGGGATTAGATGGTAAAACAAAGGGCAGAGAACATGAAGGCGGGAAGGGGTGTCACAAGCTGATGGTAGGGATCCTACTGTTATGGAAATGCGGGTGAGGTAAAGATGAGAACCACATGGAGACCTTCCTCACTGGGTGCAAAGAGGCATCGGGTCCCTGAAATAGTGGACAGGACAGGAAAAAGGAAGCTAAAGGACATGTTCTTAAGCTACACTGGAGCTGGCACTGAAAACACTCAAGTACAAACACAACCTCATCCCAAGAATAACTGAAGCAGAAACGTGCTGCCCACGAGGCAAAAGTCACTGAATGACAGGTTCTCGACCTCCGCTAGCTTGTTGACCGAGATGCTGCTTGGGTGCGGGAGATATAGAAGGCGTGAGTCAGCATGCCCCTGCCCTCACAGTCAGGTGTTGAGAAGACACTAAACAGGCAGCTAGCTGCACACATAACAGCATCAGCGTGATGAGGAGGAACGAAAGAGCAGGCTGAAGGGCTGGAGATGATGGGAGGGGAGGGGAAACTATTTGAGGTGGCACGTTTGGGGACAGAGTCTCTGAGAAAGTGACATTGGAGCGGAGATCTGAAAGATGAGAGCCCGCTGATACCGTGGGGAGGCTGTTCCAGGCTGAGGGAACAGTTGTCAAGTCCCTGAGGTGGGCAGAGCTCAGCAAAGCAAGAAATGGCAGGGGGGCTGGAATGGGCAATGAAGAATAGTGGGCACTGAGGGCAGAGAAGTTGCTGGCTCAGTTCCCACAGGGCCCCAAGGCCTCATGCTGCTTCATGACGGCACCCCATCTTGTTCACCATTACAGCCCTGGAGATTGGCATTGTAATTTTTGCCAAACGAATGGATGGAAAATGACTTCAACTCCCAACCTTGTAACTCTTGGTGTTTGTGAATGTCACTAAAGAACGTGGTTTCCCGTCATCCGCAGTAAAGCACAACTGAGAACTTCAAGCTCCCTTCAGACCCTTTAATGAGCCTCTAAATAAAGGACTAAGACTGCGTAGAAAGCTAAAAAAATGCCCCAGCACCCTGAAATTCGGGGGTGCAAACACCAGCTTGGTGGGAAGCTTGGGCCAGCGCCAGGATGAG